CTTGGATCATGGAGTGAGAGATTAAAATCCCCATCTTTATTTATTTATTTATTATTTGGGTGATTAAAACTCTTCATCTTTGTTTATTTCTTTATTAAGCAATCAGCAATTGTATGGTAGGCTCTGCCTCCTCATATTCCCTTTTATTTATGTCTTTTATTATGCTGTTACTATACTCAATTTTTTTATTTTTCATCTAACGAGTTAAGCTTTTGAGTAATAATTTGTCAAAGCTCGAGATCGCTACCCTTGACTTATGTGGAAAGAATTATATGTCTTGGGCGGTGGGTGCAAAGTTGCATCTAAAGAGAAATGATCTCTTGAGCACTATCGATATGTCGGAAACGATATTCGATGAAATAAGGCGAATGTCATGATCTTTTTACGTCACCATATCCATGATGGTTTAAATGATAAATCCATCACGATTAAAGATCCTGGAGATCTTAGAAAATAAGTGTTGAATCTCTTGGCGAGAGAATTCACCCAAAGCTCGGAGTTGATCTAAATCCTCCTGGTAGCTTAACAATATAATAAACTCGTGATGAGAAACCATCAGTTTCGTCCATCTAAATTAACTCCATTCCTAGGGGAGAATGTTGAGTAATCCACTTATAGTAAGTGTGATGGACGAATTCAATGAAAGAAAAAGATGATGGTTGGGACATTGAAAGACAAAAGCTTAATGGTTTTGATGTATTATATGCTTTTGCTTTGAATATTTTTGTTGTAGGTTCTATTGTACCATAAGCTGTATTGCCAGGTATGTGTTTAATACTTATTAATGCATCCTTTAATAATATTTTAAATTAAAAAAATACCAGAATTTGAGACTATTGACGGAGAAATATGTCTGGCAGACAGTGCTACAACGCATGGGATTATTAAAGATAGAAAGTATTTCTCCTGACTCAAAATAAACGATTCCGATGAAAGCATGAATACGATATCTGGTAATACACAAATTATTTTGGGCTCCGGAAGAGTCAGTTTTTCAATGCCAAGGGGAACAAATTTTGAGATAAATGATGCGTTATATTCCCCAAAGTCTTATAGAAACTTGTTAAGTTTCAAAGATATCCGCAGAAATGGATATCATATAGAGATTATGAATAATGGCACTGAATATCTTTGCATTACATCAGAGAGGAAACATATATCGGAAAAATTGAAAATGTTATCCTCTAGATTATATTGCACAAAAATAAGCATGACTGAATCATAAACTACAGTAAACTAGAATTTTACTAGTACATTTAAAGTTTAACATGAAAGGTTAGACCATCCTGGTTCAGTCATGATGAGAAAGATTGTGCTAAATCTAATGGCCATCCGTTGAAAAACAGAAAATATTATAAATAGGCGAGTTTTTATGTAATGCTTATTCTCAAGTAAACTCGTAACTCGGCCATCACCAGCCAAAGTTGGGAATGAATCACCAAAAATTTTGGAAAGAATATATGGTGATATATGTGGGCCGATCCACCCACAATGCGAGCCATTTCGATATTTTATGGTTTTGATTGACGCATCTAGTAGATGGTCACATGTGTGTCTATTGACCACACGAAATACGAATTTCGCTAAATTCATTGGCCAAATAATCAGATTGAGAGCACAATTTTCTGATTATGTTATAAAGATAGTAAGGCTGGATAACGCTGGTGAATTCACTTCACAAGTGTTTAATGATTATTGTATGTCTTTTGGGAATCGATGTTGAGCATCTGGTTCCACATGTTCATACACAAAATGGCATGGTTGAGTCATTGATTAAACGGTTGCAATGGATTGCAAGACCGTTAATATTGAGAACAAGACTCCCAATTAATGTATGGGGACATGTTATTTTGCATGCAGCAGTCCTGATCCAGATACGTCCAAGTGCATATAATGAGTATTCTCCACTACAGTTGGTATCTGGACATGAGACAAATATATCTCATCTTCGTGTGTTTAGGTGTGCGGTCTATGTCCCTATAATGCCACCCCAAAAAACAAAAATGGGACCACAAAGAAGATTGGAAATATACATAGGTTATACGTCACCGAGTACAATCAAATATCTTGAACCAGTAACTGGTGATATGTTTACGGCACATTTAGTCGATTGTCATTTTAATGAAGATGAATACCTCGCGTTGGGGGGAGGATTGAGAGAATCACCAAAAGATATCACTTGGTGTATAAAATCTTTGACTTATCTTGATCCTCCTACCAATCAATGTGAGATGGAAGTTCAAAAAATTATACATATGCAAAATATGGCAAACCCGTTACCAGATGCATTCACAGATACAAAGAGGGTGACAAAGTCATATATCCCCGCAGCAAATGTTCCATCCAGAATTAGTTTTCCTGAAGAACACATTGATGGGAACATATCAAATGAACCTAGGGTTCAATTGAAGAGGGGGAGACCGATGGGTTCTAACGATAAATTCCCCGAAAAAAAAAGAATATGGGAGAACAAAGTAAAAATGTTCTGGAAGAACCATTAAAGAAAAATGTCCTGAAGACATTTGTGAAAAAGTTCTAGAAGAACCATATAAAGAGATTCGTCTTGGAGACGAATGTGAAACAGAAAAATATGAGATTTCCATCAGTTACGTGCATGATGGAGAATTATGGATCAGAGATAAAATAAAAGATATTGATGGAATATTCTTTTTCTGTATATAAATAGCATCAAAGCGATGATCCAGATCGAAGGTCCATATTAGAATGTCAGAAAATACATGATTGGGAGAGATGGAAAATGACCATTGAAACAGAATTATTTTCGCAGAATAAAAGAATGGTTTTTGGACGTATTGTCAAAACACCAGAGCATATAATGCCTGTCGCATACAAATGAGTGTTTATAAGAAAAAGAAATGAGAAAACTGAGGTCACAAGGTATAAAGCGAGGCTTGTGGCTCAAGGTTTTTCTCAAAGCCCAGGAATTGATTATGGGAAAACATATTCCCCGGTAATGGATGCAATACCATTCAGATTCTTAATGAGTCTAGCAGCATCCAAGAATCTAGACATCTATCTGATGGATGTTGTGACATCATATCTATACGGATCACTTGAGAATGATATATACATGAAAATCCCTGAAGGATTGAAAATGTCGAAAGCATTAAGATCAACATCTAAAGAGATGTGTGTGATCAAGTTACAGCGATCACTTTACGGATTAAAGCAATCCGGACGCATGTAGTATAATCACTTAAGTGAGTATTTGTTGAGTAAAGGTTACATTAACAATGCGATATGCCCTTGTGTTTTTATTAAGAAATCCACATCGGGATTTGTGATCGGGACTCAAAATGAGATTGATGATCCAAGAACTCATATGAAAGAAGAGTTTGAAATGGAAGATCTTGGAAAGACAAAGTTTTGTCTTGGGCTCCAGATAGAGCATTTCCAAGATGGTATATTTATACATCAATCAAATTATACGAAAAGGATCTTGAAATGCTTTAGTATGGATAATGCGACTCTTTTGAGTACTCCGATGGTCGATAGATTGCTCGATGTTGATAAATATCCATTTCGGCCATGTGATGATAGCAAAGAAATATTAGGTCTTGAAGCACCTTATATGAGAGCTATCGGTGGGCTTATGTATATTGAAAATTGTACTAGACTAGATATAGCTTTTGTTACTAACTTACTTGCAAGGTATAGTTCATCACCGATGCACCGCTATTGGAATGGAATAAAACATATATTTTGTTATCTTCAATGTTCGATTGATTTTGGATTATATTTTTATAGAAACCTTGAGGTTGGTCTAGTTAGTTTTGCAGATGCAATATATCTGTCTGATCTGCATAAAGCTCTATCGCAAACTGGATATTTTTTTCACATTTGGTGGAACTGCGATCTTCTGGCAGTCACAAAAGCAAACTTTGGTCGCGACTTCTTTAAACTATGCGGAGATTATTGCATTTCATGAAGCATGCAGAGAATGTGTATGACTCAGATCGATAGCTCATCACATACAAGAAGTAAACGGAATAATCACGAACAAAGAACCAACAAAGGTGTTTGAAGATAATGCTGCGTGTGTCGCTCAAATTAAAGAAGGTTATATCAAGAGCGATAGAATGAAACATATCCCTCCAAGATTCTTTTCCTATACCCAAGAGTTCGAGAAAAATAAAGTAGTGGATATTCAGTATATTCGTTCAAGTGACAATGCAGCTGATCTCTTCACAAAAGCGCTTCCTACTACAACATTCAAGAAACATATTCATAGTATTGAAATGCGGCATCTAAGAAATTTATGAAGAAAAAATGAGATCCATCTTTTCCAGGGGGAGTTTACTATTGATGTACTCTTTTTCCCTTTATCATGGTTTTTATGTCATTAGATTTTTTATGAAAATGTTTTTTAACGAGGTAGCAACTTCGCAGTGATGGATACTCAAGCGTCATTTTTAGGAGGAGCATTACTGCACTCTTTTTCCTGTCATGATTTTTATCTCAAATAGGTTTTTCCATGATAAGGTTTTTAGCGAGATAATATGTAATACTTCCCCTGTTTTTTAATGTATGACATGTTAGATATTGCACATATATTAAGACAAATTTTTGTAACTGCTTTTCTTTATTTTTTAATTATTTTTTTTTATTTTTTACTCCTATATTAATTATTACTTTTTTTTCTTTCTAAGTTTTTTATTCATTTTAACTTATTTTACCTAAAATATTATCATTAATTGTTCTTGAAAATCTAAAAGAACATTAATTAAAAAGTAAACTCAATCTTTAACAAACAATTTTTTTTTAAAAACGTCATCTTTCAAGAAACAGAGGGAGTACATCATTAGTAATAGATAAATAAGAAATAATGTAAAAGGGATAGTGATTATCCATTTGTTTTTCCCTTTATACATTAGCATATTAAAAGATAATGTTTATTTATATATTTTGTCTTTATACATTAACATTAAAGAATAATGATTATTTATATATTTTGTTTTTATATTTTAGCTTACTTTACTATAAAATGTTTTCTTATAAATAAATGACTTCATTCTTTATAAAATCATAAGATTAGAAAAAGAAAAAAATAAAATTATTATGTTCATCTTTTCCTCTTTCTTTCTAAATTTCGTATATCTTAAATTCTTATTTACTTTTCCTTTACATTAGTTTATAACAGTTGTGATATTTTCCTATTAATTGCAACATGACTTCGCCACACCCCAAAATAGCCTTAAACCGTTAAACGGAGTTAACTTTCTCATCCCAAGAAATCGCCCGTACATCGTCACTGTAAATGGCATTTCGTAGGGTTTTACTCTCTCACCTCCGCCGATCGCGTCACACCTGTTCCTCTCTCTCTCCTCACCATGTCTCCGCCTCCCCGTCATATCCTTCGATCGCGATCGGTCTCCTCCAATCCCGATTGTTTTCCACTCCCACCGACTTGGACTCTGAGCTGAGTCGACTCAGAGACGATTCGATCGCTGGCCTGGGAAGTGGTGGCCATGGATTAGACTTGGGCGATTTGGGGCAGGAAATGATCGGAGCTAGTGCGTCGAACCACCATTTATTGACCCGACATGTGATTTCGTTGCTTGATTCATACCATGACCTCACTGGATTGCCCTGGTAATACATAAAAACTTCTGCTTTCTGATTGGGTTCTCTGCTCTGTATCCTCTGCAATTCCTTGAAAATAACTGTGCTTTGGACTCGTATTTGCAGCCCAATCTGTGTCTGAGGATTTGGTTATAACTCCTTCTCTGCTTATTTTCTCTGCAATCTCTTAAAAAATTTGTTCTTTCACCTCTTAACCTAGAGCCCCAATAGTCATGTCTCTCAGTTCATAGTTTGTGTCTGAGGATTTTTATTAATTTGTCTTAGCTGACTTTCTGATTGGGTTCTCTTCTTATTACTTCTGCAATTACTTGAAAAAAATATGTAGCTTACAGCCCAATTTGTGCCTTAGGATTGAGTTTCTATCGATTGGTGGTGAAATCTCTTGAAAAACTGTTTCTTTCTCCTCTTATGTTACTGCCCAATCGTCTTGTTTCTCAGTTCATAGTTTGTGTCTGAGGGTTTTTGTTAATTTGCCTCAGATGAATTGCCAGGTGGGTCGTTATCGCTTCTTCTACTGTGGCTTTTAGAACGACTTTGCTTCCTCTACTGATTTTGCAGCGGAGGCAAACAAAAATGATTTCACAATTCTTACCTCAGTGTGAGCATTTTCTCCCCTTACCTCTCTTTTATCTTTTAAGGCAGCACTTTATTGAATAGATGCTAATAGTTTGATAGTGGTTTTCTAGTACCGCCTTTTTGGCCTCCAAAGGGTTCAGGAAGGGGTGTTGTTGAACAATTCATGCTGTTTCGGAACGAAAGAAAGGCTATTGGGTGCCCTTCGTTCTTGTGGATTCCTGCTTACTTCTCCATCCAGGTGATGCTTAAAATCTCTTCTTATAATAGTATTCGATAAAACTAAAATATCTGGAGAAATTTGGAAATTGTTACTCTGCATAACATTTTTCGCAGCCCTGTTGATTCTTGAATGAGCAAATCACGAAACCATATTTATGGAACTTCGACGGCTATTTTTCTACCACTTCTGTAACATTCTCAATGAGTGTGAATATGTTGTAGATGCATAACATGAAATATAGTTTTTCGAGTGGAAAGAAGTTATACTCCCCCATTCTTCTTCCTGCAGATTTCATGTTTTTTCATGTGGATAACTAGCATTAGAAGAATGTCACTTGATCATCATCCCGGCTTTGATACGGTAAGTCGTCAATATATTGGGATCAATGATAGACTATTGTTTTTTTTTTTTTTTTTTTTTTTTTTGTATATTTCAGGCTTTCCATCGTCATTTAGTCAATATTTTGGCTAGTGTCTTCTTCCGTATACTTTTCCTTTTGATCGAATCAAATGTTTCATTGCTTGTAGGGTGGGGTTTTATGGTTCCAGGATTTGACTGATATTCCCAACGGTCTTTATGGTCCGATTTTCCCCTTTTTAATAGCTGGTTTGCATTACACAAACACACAGGTATTTTCTGTTGTTTCTCTGTTTGGATCATGGAACCTTGAAGTAATAATTATGCTACATCTCATCCGTTAGAATAGTTTCTAGTGAACTATACTTTCTGATATTTTCTGGATTCCTGATTGTTGGATATAATCTATACATTATCCTGCAGATAGCTTTTTCAGCATCTTCAGTTCACAAAGTTGACAAATTCGCGGAATTAGCAAAAGTGAGTTTTTCTACTTTGTTATGCAGTTTAATAATAAAAAGTCTGTATTTGAACTGTTTGGCAAGAAAAGTGACTGTCCTGGCATCAAATAAAGTATTAAATTCTACTGGAAAAGAAATATCAAGTGTTCTTTAAGCATGTTACTGATCAATTATTGGGTGGTTTTGTGTTTTTCTGCAGGCTTACAAGATATTCTTGAATTTCTTGACAGCTGGTCTTTATATCCTTGCGTTCCAAATGCCTCAGGTAAATTAATATTTTATCATTCTAAAGTCCACATATTCTTGTTTTCGGTTACGTTTGTGCATTAATACTGTCAATTTTGGGTATACTTTATCTTTGAGTCCAGATAGTCTTTTCCACCGACGTGACTATATTTTGATACCACCTAAGCTTAAGGTCCTTCAACTAAGTTTTCTTAAAACGCAAAATGTCTGATTTATTTGACTCTTATCTCTTTGTAAAACCCTTAATGGTGATGAGTGGCTAATTTTGCAAGTATGTCATTCAAACTAGACTATCTTCTTTTTCCAGAGTCATGTGTAGTTTCATTTTTTAACTACTGTCTGGGTGAGTTTTATCTAAGAGCTACTACTCTCACTTTCCTATTACTCCCTCGAACAGTCATTTTCACTCCATTCTTTCTATTTCGAATACTGTATTTTGCATTGCTACATGTTTAAAATTTGTTTTTCTTCTCATTTTGTTTCACTATTACTTCTCAGGGAAGTCTGCTTTACTGGTCTACCAATTTGTCATTCAGCATAGCTCAGGTTTGTTCTAATGATTGCAATCTAAGATCTACTTACTCTGTTTGACTTTTGATGTTGTCAAATTTATACTCTGTGATGTGGTATTTATTGGGACAAGATTTCTTAGGATCAATAAATAAAGCTAGGAGATCAGTACTTTTTCTGTTTCGAATTCAGACAAAACTTGAGATCTTAGTTTAACTCATTAAGATGAATTTCGTGTAAATTGGGAAAATGAAGAAATGAATTAGGATGTTTTAACCTTAAATTCATGTAAACTAAAAACTAAACGATAAATTGGCAAGTTGCCACTTAGCATCTGAGTTAAGGATCCAAAGCTTATCTTAGAGATTGGATAGTATAGTAATAAGTTAAACGTTTAGTAACTGCTGCTTAGAGGAATTGGTTTTAAGCTGGTTATGTGTTCCCTTTTACATTAAATATGTAAGTACCCTTTGGTTCTCTCATTCAGTGCATTGGCTTTGTAGCAATCAATCCTCAAACATCCTGTTATAAGTGCTAAGTTGGGCCTACAAGTAAATGACACTGTCCAGAAAGAGTCTGGAAACCCAATATTAACCAATACAAATGAAGCGAAACTCACTGATCCATCCTCGACAGGACGCTTGATCTCCGGGCATGATTTAACCCCGAAGGAGCTAGTTGGTGTAAGTCAAATGTCATGGATCAAGATTTTTTAAACAATAATTAGTATTCCACAACTTGTGTTGCTATTGTTAACAGCTTTTGTTAACAGCTTTCTGCCAAATACTTATCCGGAGGGCACAAGGAAAAATCAATTCCGCTACTAAGGTAACTATGTAGCTATCGATTTCTTCTCATCATGAAAAGCATTTCCTTGGATCTCTACTTGTTGATGTGGCTGTTCTTGTGAGACTTAGTTGTGTTGATTTTTTGTTTTTTCAGATTGGCATTAGAAAAGGATCCTGAATATCTGCAAGCTATGGTTATTCTTGGTCAAGCTCTATATCAGAAAGAACAGTTCGCCGAAGCTGCAAAATACTTAGAGCAGGCTGCTACGAAGGTGTGATTTTTGATACGCTTTGATCTCATTCTTCAAGAAATTATTATTTGTTTTACTTAACTGTATTAATAAGAGTTATAACTCTGTTCCTCTCAGCTTATTGATGCTTGTCCAACAGAAGTTGAAGAAGTCGATCTTTTGATTGTTGCATCCCAATGGGCAGGTGTCTCCAACATACGCCAGGTACATTCTTTTCGAAATCGCTTGCTTTCCTTCACTATACACGTTGATGTGAAGAGACTCAAAGAACAAGAACACTCATGGCTTCAGGGGAAGACATTAGAGGGAATCACACACCTTGAAAGAGTAGCAAACATGAAAGAGCCTGAAGATCCCAAGAGCAAAGCACATTACTTAGACGCATTGGTACTCTACTCAAGGTAAAAAGAAAGAAAAGAATCAAAAACTATTCTCTGAGAAACAGTTGTTCTTTTTGTGTTTACTCCTGTGTGTGTGTGTAGTGCTATATTCAATGAAGGAAGGAGAGAGGAAGCAGCAAAGTACTTGAGAAGAGTGGTGGCTTATGATCCATCGTTTCAGGAATTGTTAAAACAATGCGAAGAAGAAAATGATGATGATACATCTTCATCTAACTCTACCCACAAAACCTAACTTTTCTTCTTTTTTGTTTTGTTTCTTCCCATCCCTTACCAATTTTTCTACGGGGTTTTGTTTCACCAATCTTTTGTTTTTTAAATTAATTTTTCGGTTCTTTTATTCAAATGAGTAATACCAAGTCATTAAATAAAAATTAAATTTCAATGTATATCAATGATATTTTTATTAATAAGGTGAGTAAAATCTTATAATATTAAGATTTCAAAAATTTATTAATTTATAAAGTTACTAGGTATATATCTGCGCTATGCTGCAAAATATATTTTTAAATTTTGTATATATTTTTAATATAAATAAGTATTATATTTTTTTTATTAGCTTAAGTTATATATTTATGTGTTTTAAATCTGAATAAATATTATATATTTTTAATTTTTTTTTTATTTTTCAAAATTATAATCTACTATCAAATTTGTTTAGCTAACTATCTATAAATGTATATGTAAGAATAAAATAATACATTTTTAAGTATCTTTATGTTAATAAAAATGTAATTTGTTATCTCAATTAAATTGCCACTTGATCCTTCTTTGAAATTATATAAAGCAAATTGTCATTTTTTAAAAAACTGAGAAATCGCACTTATAACAAAACAAAACAAATTCATTTCACCTATTTCCTCCAAAATCAAAAAATTCATTTTTTCGTCAAACCTAAAATTTTATTTTCACACTAAAACGGAGAAATTGCATTTTTCCGCAAAAATAAAAAATCACATTTTCTGCGAGAACCTGTGTTTTCACGTCAAAACAGAGAAATCAAGTTTTTTCACCAAGACCAAAAAATTCATTTTCCCATGAAAACCGAGAAATCGTCAATTCCCAGAAAAAAAAAATCATCAAACTAAAAATCAGGCATTCCTACCAAAACTGATAAACTACAATTTCCCGCGAAAACCAAAAATTGCATTATCTCCTCAGCAATTATGTTTTCCGCGAAAACTAAGAAATCGCATTTTACCGCAAAAACCAAAAAATCACATTATATATATCAAAAACTGAAAATTTGCATTTCTCATCAAAACAGAGAAATTGCTCATTTCTTCCAAAATCGAGAAAATTTTGTTTTCCCATCAAAATGAGAAATTGCATTTTCTATCAAAATCGTCAAATTACAATTTCCCACAAAAACTAAGAAATCACATTTTTCCGCAAAAATCGAGAAATAACATTATCCTTCAAAAGCCAAAAATTTGTATTTCCTATCAAAACTAAGAAATTATATTTTTGTAAACTGAAAAGTTGCATTTCCCTCGCATTTTCTCGTCAAAACTAAGATATTTTGTTTTCGCGTCAAAATTAATTTTTTTTGTTCTCACCAAAACCAAAAATTCACATTTTTCCGCCAAACCCGATAATTCATTTTTTCTGCCGTAACCAAGAAATTATGTTTTCTTGGCAAAACTGAAAATCACATTTTCCTACTGAAACCAAAGAATTCCCTATTCACGCTAAACCCATGAAAATTTGTTTTGAGTAACCACTGGAAATACGAATCTCCAAGTTATGGTGATATGAGCTTCTCATCATTTGCTTTCGACTTCCATTTTTTTTAAAACTTTTGGGCTTTTTAATAGGTCTGCAAAATAGTAAACTGATTTTATTAGTGTGTTAATGATATGTATTATTGTTATGTTTTTATTGGTTCAAATTTTTGCTGATGTGTGAGCTTCTTATAACATAAGGCTTTTTGCGTTGTTGTTCTGGAAACATAGTTGATGATAAGCTTACACTTTTTCAATCATATACGTCTCTGTCGAACAAACAAATAGCTAATTTTTTATTTTATTTCCTATTAATTATTATTTGGGTTTGGGTTTGACAAAAAAAAAAACAAAGATTTAATTTTTTTTATTTGGTGTTATTTATTATTTGGGCTTTGATTTGTTAAAAAATAAAAAAAATTATTAACAAAAAATGTATTTGGGTTTTTAATGGGTTTAAATTTAAAAATTAAAATAAGTAGATGAGTTGTATTAATATTTTAATTTGATTGGTTTATAAAATAGCTGAGGTGTCAGCTTCTCAGAGATTAAAAAATCTGATGTGTCAACCTATGGAGAGACTTGAGTGTTATTGTTGTATTGATTATTTAATTGATAATTTAATAATTATTAATTTATGGAAAAATTAATATTTTATTAATTTATATAGAAATATTTCAATTTTAAATTCAAAATATTTGTCAAAAAACAAAAAAATGTTTTCAACAATATAAAATTTATTCAGGAAATATTATATCAGAGAATTTGAAAAATAAGTCAAACAATTTTTATAAACTCAAAACAATAATATAATTATATTTTACTATATTATATTATTTATATATGCTTAAATGTATAATTAAAAATTTATCTAATTATTAGGACTATATTTTTATATATGAATTTCAAAAAATTATTATTTTATTATCTTATCATTGCTAATTTTTATACTGATTCGACCTGAATCCGCTAAAAATTATTAATTTATTGTGATTATTAATTTATCGAGTATTAATTTATTAAAGTTCTACTGTATATTATTTTTCGTTCTAGTATTATGGTGGTAAAAAATTCGCTGACAGTAAAGAAAATTACGGTGGTGATTGCTGTGAAGAAACTCCAGCAATAAAGAAACTCAAGCAAACTGTATCAAATGGTAAACCGATTTCGTCGAAATCATCCCGCTGAAGATTGGAATTATTCTTGAATTTACTATTCCAAGATTCATATTAGGTTAAGCACTAATGTAAATGTAATAAGGTATATTTGGTATTTTAGCACAATCGTTATTGTTATTGGTATCATTATATATATTGTTTTTAATAATTTTTTTTATCATGTAGTTTGTATTAGTATCTATAAATATTTCGTATAAATTATACGTAAATATAAATATTTATTGTTGTAATTACTATTGTATTTATGTTAATATAATTTTAACTAGATCGTTGTATGTATGTGCATTAACATAATTAGTTGTAATATTTAAGAGTTGATTAGTTTTTTCATATATCATTTTTAACTGTTATGTTTTTATATACATACAGTTTTAATATTTAATAGTAACACAAATGTTTCATATCGTTTTATGTTTTTTGAAATTGATATATTTTAAAATTTTTTATTTTTTTAGTGTTTACAGTGATATATAATTATTGTTCGGGAACAAATTTCGGGTTGCCATGTGGGGATATGTTATTTGTTTCGGGAATGGAACCGTGCCTCCGAGTTTCGTCCTTTGAGGGAAAGGTGACGAGTTGTTCCGGGACGTAAGCTGGTTAGGTCCAATCTGCACGGGAGAAGACCGATCTGAACCTCCAAATACTACGCAAAAGGTTAATCGGACCTTCGGAAAGACCGAAAGGGGGTTCCCCTCCCGAAGGTTCTCCGACGCCCAAGTCAATGAACGTCCTACCGGGAACAACTACTCATGAGAGTGTTTCTACGGGTTTGGGTGAGAAGTCTCGTCCAGGGATCGAGACATCTATCTGTTTACGAGTGTTTCGATGGGGTTCTATAATATGAAAGGAGTTCAGCGAGTATAAATGTATAATTCCGGGCAAAGAAAGGACTTATCCTGGTAGGCATCATCCCGGGGGAATGTGAAGGTTCCCTCTCAACTATGCTGTTCGGCGGTGTGAGTTGGCCTTGGGCGGTTGAGCCATCTCCTCCTTAGATTGGGTTCTAAGGAGGTCTCTTGCTCCCTTTTTCTCCGGTCTTCTCTGTCTCCTCCGGGGCTCTCCCCTTGGGCCTCTCCTTTCTTTATGGAGGTCTCTTTCCTTTTATACAAAATTCTCCGTCCTGTTCTCTCCATTCGCCGTTAACGGCCGTATTAACGCGTTGACCTTGCCGCGTATCCCGAAGGATACGGTATCAGCCTGGGCGAAGCTAAGTTCTTAAGGGCTATATTCGAATAAGGACTTGCCCAAACCATGCCACGCATTCCAATCGAATACGGTACTAGTTGGGGGGGGGGGGGGATCTAGACTTTCAGGGAAGTATAAAAGGAGACATCAACTCCGACCCTGCCACACATCACGAAGGAGTGTGGTTCTAGTCGGAAGAGCGAACGAAAGAAGGTTTTTAACTCTAACCTTATTCACATGTCCCGGAGGAGCACGTTATCAGTCAAAAGAATTTTACTTCCAGAGAAGCGAGCCGTGGGGCGGCTTAATAGATGTCAACTCCAGCCTCATTTGCATCCGAGGGAGTACGTTACTGGCTGGAGGAGTTACACTTTTGGAGGAAGCGAACCGTGAGATGGTCAAACTAAATATATTAATGGACTCGCCCTGACTTCGCCACGCATCCGGAGGAGTATGTCGTCGGTTGGGAGAGTTAGGCTTCCAGAGAAGATAGGTGAGTGGGACCTACCCTGACTGGGGCACACATCTGGGGGAGAATGATACTTGCTCATGGTAGGAGGATATTGGCGCTCCTGGAGGAACTGATAACTTGCCCACTGGTGGACATATCTTCAGAGGGATTTTACTTCTTGTTTCGTGGGGCACTAAACAAGAAGCCGTCTTGCCCCCTCTCGTCGGAGTCACGAGAGAGGTTATAGTCCTATGTGACCATGAGGATCGACATGAGACAACGACGTGGTTAAGACACCAACCCAAGGGCCAGAGGTGGCGCCGTTGAGCGGATGAATAGATGTTCCATGTGTCACGGGGCGCTAACACAAGGGGGAATCGCTACTCGAGTGCAACTGGTACGGAGTAAGGCATTTCCCAAGGGCGTTGCCTCGATTCCCTTACTGCTTGGACAGTCTTTGCGTTGTGCCTACGCGGAAGTTTCTGAATTTTAAGATCGTGCTTGTGACATAGCCGAAGGGAAGAGGTCGGAGAATTATCAAGAAGAGAAAACTTACGAGTAGGCGACCTCAATTCCTGTGGTGCCAAGTTGCAAGCGTGTCCTTGGGAGGAGCACACTGTTTTGTCGCACAGCCCGCTGGAGGGGACTGGTGAGGAGACTTAGAGGTCTGCGAGCCCAGAGCCTCAGACTCCCGAGGAGGGGTGCCATGGAGGGCGAGCAAATTCGCAGGGGAGCATGCTTAGGGCGCGCGCTGTCCTTGGAGGGAGCTGGCCCAGGAAGAGCCGCGCGCGCGAACTTCATGCAACCCATTCCTAGGGCCATTACCTCTCGCAGGTGATTGGCGGTTTTCTTGTAAAGGCGTAATTTTCATACCGTTACGACCGTTTG